CACAATGACGTCTGTTCCCACGAAAGCCATTCCCCTGTTGACATCCTGCCTCTTCGAGGAATAAAAACCGTAAGACATGGAACTACACCAAAACATGAATCATTAAACTCTGATTTATCCATCTGGGGCCCACATGACCTTTTGTTGATTTCTCTCAGAGCACCTCACTGAGATAAAAAACTGCCAGGCCGGGGCGCCTGGGTGGCGCAGTCGGTTAAGCGCCCGACTTCAGCCAGGTCACGATCTCGCGGTCCGTGGGTTTGAGCCCCGCGTCGGGCTCTGGGCTGATGGCTCAGAGCCTGGAGCCTGTTTCCGATTCTGTGTCTCCCTCTCTCTCTGCCCCTCCCCCGTTCATGCTCTGTCTCTCTCTCTGTCCCAAAAATAAATAAACGTTGGAAAAAAAAAAAAAAAAAAAACTGCCAGGACATGAGTGCCGAGCCCATAAAGGATGGTCTAGGAAACAGTGTCAAGACCTACAAAACAGGCCTGAGCCTTGTCCTGGATTTGTAGTCTCCAGACACAAGTTTGACTATGGCAGCTGAGGACCGCGTGACCAGGCTTGGGCATTAAACGGGCAGCACTGAATGAACCAGCCTAGCAAAGCTCTAGCCTTGTTTCACAGCAAGCCTGACCACAGTGTGAACAGTGTTTCTAGAGCATTCCAAGCTCGAACTTGGGATGTACTCTGGGAAGGGGGCCTCTTTGGCCAGCCTGGCCACATGCCCCTCTCCTCGACACCAGCCCCCGTGTGGACACTAGCCGTCGGCACAGGGCTCAGTGGAGAGGGATCCGAGGGCTCCCCGGTAGGTGGACGGAGGACAGAGTGCCATGAGGACCGTGACTCTGGGGAGGAGGCGGTGCCTGGGAACCACAGAAGCTATAGGAAATGGGAGGACAGGGGACAACAGGGACCACTGGGCATGGGCACAGGGAAGGTGTGGCTGTCTGCATGGGCTTTTCCCTCTGGTCACTGTCGCTTAAGCACTGCCTGGCACGTGAGTCCTAAAACCAAGCAAGAGGAGTGGGCACGAGGGAAGCTGGCTGAGGGCTTATTAAACACTCTTCCCGCTCACTGCACGGGGCCAGGCTGCCCGGCCAAGCAGGGTCCTCAGATCCGACCGCATCTTCCAAGTACCTTTGGGCTCTGGACTAGTTCAGACAAAAACTCAGACCTGGGATTTCATCTATACCAAACCACATATTAAATAAATACCCTTCAGGCCACTTTCTCAACTCCGCCTACCATTCCAGCCCAGTGATTCCAGCCTGTGCCCCAAGTTCACTGCTCCCTCTCATGCCCACCGCTGTCTCAGAGGAGTTGAGGAGACAAGGACTTCTCTAAGGGGGGAAAGACTTGGTTCTCAAATGATCCCAACACATCCTAGCTTCCCGATGGGGTAGAAGCCATTTCATGATAAGGACATAGCACTGACTGACGGTGTTATTTTGGAGTATGCGTATGACCGCTGTGGCAGTAGGGGTGTGGATGTCTCATAGTTCAGGGGAAACACGTAATGACTTAAAGTCCCGTTATTGGGAAATCACATGCCCAAAGTTCTGGGCTGCACCACCATACCGCACGTGTCTGCTAGTGACGGTGGAAATGAAGACAGTGTTAACAATAATATGGACTTGCCTGAAAGTGTGACTTCTTCACAGGTCCCTGGACTGGAGTTCTCAGAAAGGTCCACTGAGATCTTAATTTCCGTTTCTAGATAACCAACGTTACTAAACCTTAAAGCGGCCGTAAGGCACTATCGAGCCATTTTCAATCTTGTGTTAAAATCAAAATTCTGTGTGACTGCACGGCATTTGCCCAGAACAACAAAACACAGGTTGCATTTCGCTGATCAAAACTAGTCTGTGGCCGTCATGGGCTGAGGACTCCAGTGAGTCAAGGGGGCACACGGTGCCGAGTTCCTAGCGTGAAGGTTGCTTCAGTCAACTGGCCCAGACCTTCCATGGAGAGAGTGCACACCTTCGGACAAGCAGTGCAGGCTCCCGGCAGCCCTCATGTCTCCCCCCTCGTCTCTCTCCCTCAGCCATCAATATCCTGAAATGTCCAATGTGTTTAAGACTCCTTTCGGGACACAAAGCGAATCGTATCAATACTGCATTTTGCTGCCAACAAGCCCACAGACTGTAAAGTTGCTTCCCACAGACACAGCCTAGATTCTTCTCAGAGCTAACGTCGCCAGGCACATCAGGCCCTCTGCAGACACTATTTTAGGGTGTGTCCCCCCCGCCCGTATATGTTTTTATTTTTTTTTAAAGGAAGCATCCAGAAGTGAAACAGTTAAGTCACAGATTAGAAAAAGGACAGTCTTGAAAGTTTACCCATTATTCAAACTTGAACCAAGATTCCCTGGGGCTCTCAGGCCCCCACACATCAGAAACGCAAGCATCGGCACATAGAACCTTCCAGGGAACAACACTAAGTAGCTTAAGCTGCCACATCAGCTGTGATTGATTTAAAATATTTGGGGCTCTGTTATCACACCGACACAATTTCGTGTAAATGCCTTGAAGAAAAATTTCCTTTCAATGGATTTGCTAAAGCAAAAGCTTAACTTGAATTGCCAAGCAATGAGCTTTTTATTTTATTAGGAAGATACTAAAAAAGATATTTTAAATCTTCTGGTTATGGATTTTTTTTTTTTTTTTAAAGGAGATTAGTCCTGAGCCATGTAGGCTCTTATAGCCAGGACTCCAGGACCTTTTCTTTTTGGGGCACCTCTGGGTTGCTACTGCACTGACCTCTCTGGACCTTGGGGCCTGACACTCATGGGGCTGGTTGTGCACACAAAACATACCTATAGTGGACACTGGCTCCCTCTTCATTCCAGTGACACCCTCATGTGAGGCGGCCAAGGATGATGTGACAATAAAACCTCAAGGTTTCCTCTCCCGGGGCCCAGGAAGCAACTCAAAAGCCAGAATCCTGAGTGTAATCCAGAACATTCTGAGCCTCACCATCCACATTAGAGTGAACCATCCCAGAGGGAGGACTGCACTGGGGAGGACAGCCTCAATGGGCACCCACGTTCTGGCATGCCGGCTGGAAAACAGGCTGCACAGAAATCAGGATGGTCATGGCCTCGGGAAAGGAGACGTGGGTGGAGAGGATGGACCGCTCAGGGGAGAACATTCTGGAAGGATGGAATTCTCCATGTCTTGACCAGGGTGCATAGTATATACATCTGTCAAACTCATCTAAGTATGTCCTTATGATTGTGCATTTTGTTGTATACAACTTATATCTCAGCTTATTTTAAAAAATGTTTATTTATTTATTTTGAGAGACAGCGTGGATGTCTGCATGAGTGGGGGAAGGGCAGAGAGAGAATCCCAATCAGGCTCCGTGCTGTCAGCACAGAGCCCTATGTAGGGATCAATCCCATGACTGTGAGATCATGACCTGAGCTGAAATCAAGAGTCAGACGCTGAACTGGCTGAGCCACCCAGGTGCCCCTTAATTTTTTTTTTTTTTTAACTTAGAAATCAAGTCCTAGAACTTTATGCTTCAGAGAGCTCAGTGAGATTACGCTGAGTGATACGAAGCTTACATATCCAGCTGCTTTCTGCTCCAGAGTGCATAAAGCCTCGCAGTGCAGGATCCTGGCTTGGGCAGTGAATAGCACTGAGGAAAAATGGTATTTCCTGGGCTTCGTAATGCCCAGGGCATCCCTTGATCGCCCCTTGACCCGGCCTAGCATGGTGAATTGTCACTGTGACCACATGGTCTCAGGCAGGTAGGCTCAGAACACATAGCTGTTCATCAGCCCAATGCCGGTGCGTAAGCATCCGGATCCATACCTGGATTTGTGGAAAGGGAATTGTCCTGGACTTGAACGGTGATACTCCCCGGTACCTGTTCCTTAACTTTGTGTGAACCTGGGCTGATCACTTAAGCTCCCCTTACATCATGTGGGAAGTGTGAATGATACGGCTCCCATCCCATCAGAATGTTGTTGTGAGGACACAATGGGCTGAATGTTTGCGTCCCCTGAAACTCACGTTGAAGCCTAAATCCCCAGCATGATGGTGTTGGGAGGTGGGGCCTTTGAGAGGTGATGAGGTCATGAGGGGGGAGCCCCCCTGATGGGATTAGGGCCCTTCTAAGGGGATGAGGAGACCACATCTGTCTCTTCCCCTCTCTCTGCCATGTGTGGGCACAGTGAGAAGACAGCATCTATGAGTGCGGAGGGGGCTCTTCATCAGACACCAGATTGGCCGGCACCCTGATCCTGGACTTCCAGCCTCCAGAACGGTGAGAAACATGCTTGTTGTTCACACCCACCCCCATCCACAGTGTTCTGCAGCCCGAGCTGAGACAGACAGATGGTTAAGTGAGGTAACAGGTAAGAAAGTGCTCAGAACAGTGACCGGAACGTACTAGCAATCGATACATAATCGTTGTTGTTACGACGAAAGTCTCATTAGCACGGAGACGGACTATAAATGTTTAAGAAGAGCTTCCCGCTCAGATTTTTAGTTATTTAATAATGCATTCAGTTGGAGTCCTCTGGCGCCAGAAGAAAACCAGTGGTGGGAAACGTCCAACAAGGCGGATGCACTTGGAACAGCAAACCACCTGCACTGGCTTCTCTGGAAAGCTTCACCCGTTACTTCTTTTCCAGCTTTCCCTCCCCAGGCAAGACAAGGCATCCCACCGCTTGGGAGGGGGTCCAGAAACCTTTGCATTTGCACACCTCCCAGAAGAGTGCCCCCTTCCCCTTCGGCGAGGAGCTTGGGTTCTGGAAAGCCCTCCACACCTGGCTACCAGGTGAGGGCTCAACCCTGACAGCATGATGCTCCCTGAAGCTCCAACAGTGTCTTTTTAATTTAGCAGAACTTTAAGAAACTAGAGGCTAATTTTCAGCTGAAGTGGAAGGAAACCACCCCCCCCCCC